CCTGCCGTGGGCACTAGAACTTGGAGCGGCCATGGCAGTGCTATCATCTGCAATGGCCATTGTGGCCTGGGCTCTCTCCTCTTCCTCTCTCAAAGCCTCCTCATACCACAGTGGGAAGGCTGTGGGATTACTCCCATAGATCTTGGCCAAATACTCCAGAACTTTCATCTTGCTGGTTTCAGCGTGGGCCCTTGGACCCCATAGGAACTCATAGCAGGTAGGATCACTGCCGGGCACCTGCCTGTACTCCAGGTAATTTTCCCGCACCCATTCTTCAGTGAGGAGCTTCCCAGGCTCCCCATAGATGACATGCTCAATCCCTGCATATACCCCCATCATATTCAGCACCTCCCAGACCTTCACCTCAGTGGCACAGTTGCCCTGCATCAAAATCACACCCAGAACAATGGCTAGGAGGCCAGTCTTGGGTATGCTGTCATCATCACTTGGCATCCCATCGAAGGCGAGGCCCAGGGAGGTGACAACAACATAGGAGTTGCTGGTGGGGTCGACTTCTTTAATGTCAATGCCAAAGACCAGCTGCAGGCACTCAGAGGCTTCTCTGAAGATCTCAGGGAAGTGTTCCTGGTAATTCTGGATCACACTACTCAGCATTTCCTCCTTGGTGGTCGGCTCCTTCACTCGATACTTGTGCAGCAGGAAGTGCACCAAGTCAGCCACCTTTCGTTGTATCTCATTTCTGGGAAAAGATGCAGCTTCTGGCAGGGCCTGGGAGGAGCTTGGTCCCTCCTCTTCTTGGAGATTGGGGCCCTCCTCAGATTGCATCAACTGAGCAGAGCCCATCTCAGTGAGGGAGGAGCAGGCTCTTTGAGTACTCTGAGGACTCATGTTTCCAGCAAGAGTAGAAATCTCCTCTTCTGAGGTGCTTGAATCTAAAGAAGAGGAGGAGGGGGGGAAAGAGGAGGAGCAGGTTGAGGAGGAGGAGGTAATATCCTCCTGCACAGCTGGGGACACCTGTGCACGCACGACACCTGGTGTCTCACTTTGGGAACCAAGGCCTTCCTCAGGCATATAGCGCCGACGCTTGGGAGCACGAGGCATGGTGGCTACAGGCAGGAGTGTGGCAGAGACTGGATAAGGGATCTTCAAGTCTGTGGGAGAGAGGAAGTGTATGAGCATACTCAACTGAGAAAGTCGCCCTTGTTGCTCTAACAAGAGACAATTTATAGGTCTTTCCTGTAGGTGGGCCCTCCTGGTGGTGTTGCCCCCAAGAACCTGGTAAAGGAAGTGAGGTGACTCCTTAGGGGGCTGGGGACCTGCAGAGCTCCAGGATATAGGGCTGACAGTAGGGTGGGCTTCCCTCTGCCTGGGCCAGATGGAGCCCTGGTTACACATGGAGGGTTTACATCTCACCTTGACTTGAGGCGCTACCCAGGACTCCTCTGCGCTGTGACCTGAGGACACTGCCTCAGACCAAGTCCTTCCCTCTGGTATCCAGAGCTCCTGCAAGAGGAATTGGGGGAGCCCCTCAGGCTGCAGAATGCAAGCTCAGCTCTGAGAATCCCAGTGCTGCCACAGAGGAGAGCCAGACTCAGAGGTCTTCACTATCCTGGGGTGGATGGTCCTTTCTGTGCTCACTGAGGCCTTCATCTTTAGCTTAGCAGTACCTGGCCTGAGAATCTCTCAGAGAAAGGGCTCTTATCCCTGAGCAGAAGACACTAAGAAGACCCACAATGACCTCACTTGTTCACTTCTGTACCTACCTCTTTTTTTTTTTTTTTTTTTTTTTTTTTGTGGGTTTTTACTTTTTTGTAGCGGTC